GGCGGGCGGGAGGGAGGGAGCGGCGCGGGGAGAAGGCGGCGGTGAGGACCTTCCTTCGGTGGTAGCAGCAGGTACCGGGCGCTCCTGAGGCGGAGTAGGCCGGCGCAGCCGGGGCCCTCGGCGGGCCCTGCCCCTTATGTAAGTGACCCACGGGCCGTGCCCCGCCACACGTGGCGGTGAGGGGAGGCCAGGGCGGCCGGCGGGGAGGCCTGGGCAGCGCCACATGGGAGGCGGCGGCGGCGTGCGAGGCTCGGCAGCCGGGAGGCGGCCGTCAGAGGCTGGCGGGGTGGGAGATGTGGCGGCTGCCGCTGGGAGGTTCCCCTCCTGCCCAGTCACCCGCCGCCTGGCCCCCGCATCCCCATCCTTCCGTCACTTTTGTTTTGAATGGTTTGTCGTCTTTTTTTTTTTTTTTTTTTTTTTTTTTTGTTTTTTTTTTTTTTTTTTTTTTTTTTTTTTTTTTTTTTTCCCTCCTCCACCGTTTCGGTGTGGTTTTCCAGGAGGAGGCGGGAAATTCGCGACCTGCGTCGAGCGGCAATCGCGGGAAGAGGACTGGGTTTCATGGGCAGAGCACAGCTTTACAGGAACCCAGTGCATTTTGGTGGGGGGAAGGAGGGCGTCTCTTGATTATTTTTTTTTTTGCATCACACAGCAAAGGTGTTGACTCAATAGAGCTTGATTTTTACCGTAGTGAACCATGATTCCAGGTCTGGAGCTTCTGCCCGTAGAAAGGAAGTGTGGTGTCAGTCTTTCAGGTCTAAAAATTGCTTCCTGATCACATTTAGTAAAATTATGGAAAATTTAGAGACTTAATTCTGCCAGGAATGCTGAACCCCGTTTAGGGTGTATGCCTTACTGGGGTAGTTCAAGTATTCCTCTGAGGGTTGAATCAGTCTTGGCTGGGAGCTGGCACAGGCATTTGGGCACACAGGACCGTACCCTGTCCCGCTGAGGACTGCTCCTCGTTTTACCTACTGCATCAACTGCTTTTCCTGCACTGATTTGCCTGGAGTTTGCTGTTTTAAGACAGTGAAACGAACGTAATCGGGCTACTATTAATTTTGTGTCTTCTACCTAGTAAGCTGTTGGATACTGTTTAGAGAACCAATGGTGACAAGCCTTTGCTGCTGTGGTATCGCTTCACTTGTGTGGTGGAGAGGACACTTAAACTGACGGGAGAGAGTCACCCAAAACCTGGGCCTGTTGCATGTGTTGCACATGTTTTTGCAGTTCAGCTCCTCAGGTTGCTCTTTGTCAAAGTATGTTTCAGAATTAGATATGCAAAAGCTGCCTGGACACGGTCCTGGGCAGCCTGCTGTAGGTGGCGCTGCCTTGAGGAAGGGGGCTGGACCAGATGACCGCCAGTGATTCTGGAAGGCCTTCCTCTTCGTTGTGATTCTGGAATTTGTGCGTAGTTTTTCCTTAATTTCTTCTTCTTTGGCTTCTTCACACTCTTTGTCCCATTTCCTTAGAAAATATGATCTGAATAGCATCACACAGTGTTGTCCATTTTCTGATCACCAAGTAACACTTCTCTGAAATCACTTCAGCTTCCACCTCTGGCTGAATGAAAGAACAATGCCTGTCAGCTGCAGCCTTTCCCAGTGAGACAGGGAGTCTCTCCATGCAAAAGGGGGTAAAAGATGCCTGACTGTGTCCTGGGTGGCGTCCTTTCTAAAAGGAAAGGGCTTTTTAGACAGCTCTATCTGTTTTCCTGCTGTTCTGATTTCCCGGTCATCCTTGGTTTAACTTGGCAGAATGCAAGTAAAACATCATAATAGCCAGATCGCTATATGTATTGTTCATAATTTGTTTGTAATTTAATATGGATTTTATCTTCCTAGCTCCATATTTCCAATCCAGATGTCTAGAAAAAAAAATCTTTAAAATGCCCATTGGCTTACTAGAGGAAACCTGTGTATGCCTGATGCTCTGGCATTTTCGCATGCTTTTATATATAGTTAATAACTGGGGCATGATTAAATTTAGAGTTAGATGAATGGTCCAGGTGTGTTCTTCACCTGTCCTGGCAGGCAGTGGCAAAGGCAGGGAGAGCATGCAGTTGAGAAGTTTTCTTGAATGCTCAACAAGGGGACCTGCAAAGTCTTGCACTTGGGGAGAAACAACCCCATGCACCGGTATGTGCTGCAGACTGCCCAGCTGGAGAGCACCTTCGCAGGGAAGACCCTGGGTGTTCTGGTAGACACCAAGTTGACTGTGAGCTAGGAATGTGCCCTTGTAGCAAAGGTGGCTGACGGTAGCCTGATCTGCATGAGGAGGAGCGTTGCCAGCAGGTCAGGGCAGGTGATCCTTCCTCTAATCAGCAGAGGTGAGGCCACATCTGAAGTGCTGTGTCTGGGCAGTGCAGTTCTGGGCTCCCCAATCTTAGAAGAGATAAGGAGGTACTGGAGAGAGTGCAGCAAAGGGCCACAAAGATGGTTAGAGGGCACTGGAACATTTCTCCTGTGATGAAAGGTTGAGAGAGGTGGAACTGTTAAGCCTGGAGAAGAGAAGGCTCAGGGGGCATCTCCCCAGTGCATATAAATACCCAAAAGGAGCCTGTGAAAAAGACAGAGCTGAGTATTTTCCTGCGGTGCTCAGTGACAGGACTAGAGGCAGTGGGCACTAACTGAAACATTTATAAGATGCTATTCACCAATCCCATGTATCTGTATTAGTGTTTGGTATTATGGGTAACTCATAAAACATATTAATTAAATCATTTCAATTAAGCTAAGCCAGAATGGTGGTCAAATTGTGGACCTCTTTACTCTGTGGAGCTCCTGTGTGCAGTGCGAAAGTTCATCCCACTGTCACTTTGAAATGATGACAAGTACCAAAAAGCGTAGTGTGGGATCCTGACATATACCTCCTGTGTTTCATGCGCTCATTGTTTTCGTGCTGGCAGAAGATACTGGAACGTTTTCTCAAATAGAATTCTTGTGACTTGAAGTATAGTAGATTCCAATGCCCAGGCTTTAGAGCATAATCTTTCTTCAGAAGAGCACAATTCATATAAATAGTATTTATTTATAAACATTTCCCTTTAATAACTTGGTGTTGTTCCTGGAGTCTTGCCTTCAAAACTAGCTGTAACCTCCTATGTTCTAAGGAAAATAGGTTACTGGAACGTAGTGGAATAAACAATAATAAAACTTGATTTGCAGGTTAACATGCATGCTACAATTAACCCATTAGGCCTCGTGTACATTTAAGTGGTTGGCTGTACTGCTTTGTAGTGTAGGGTAAAGGTTCTGCTTGATGCCCGATTTGGTCACCATGCGCAGCAGCCAGGAATGGTGAACTGGGTATAGTATCTGCATTTTGAGATTTTGTGAAGAAAGCAGTGCTATTTGAACAAGATAATTAAAGCTGTCTTGTTTTCTGGAGCCTTTTTCAATAAGCCAGCAAACTTGCAAAACGTAGTTACTTAGAGTAGTTTGTATTTCCATGTGTATAGAATATCTCTTAATTAGCTACCTATTTAATCTCGTAAATCCCTCCAGTTTTTAAATTTTTCCATAAAAACCGATCTTGACATGCTGAGAAGTGAAGTCTCTGTGGAGCACCTACAGAAATGTGGAAACTGAACAGCATATACATTTTTGTAAAATACTGCAGAGATGTGGTAAGGACAAGCAATGTGAAGGAAGGGACTGGAGGAGTGAATATGATGATTTAAGTACAGAATACAATCAGTGTTTTAAAGTGCTGTTATGTTTACGTCATAAGTGTATGGAAAACTGCTTTCTAATTGATGAGCTATAAAAATTTGTATTGCTTGTAATGTAAAAATTTCAACAGTATGTTTTTCCAGCAGAATTTGAGAGTGAAGGTAGTTAAGAACTTCGTATTCATTAATGTTCAAAATAAACACGCTGTAAGTGAACAAGATAAAAATGATTCACGAAATCTTTTAGAAGACAATTGACAATAAGTAATAAAATATGAATATATATATTATTACATATATTATTATATATGAAGGGGAAGGACTAATGGAAACTTATACCTGTTACTGAGCAGCTTTTTAAAGTATGATTTTTCTCAGATCCCATTTACTAACCTATGTGAGTAGACGTGAAGTCAGAGTACTGGGCTTTTTATCTTGTCAATACCTCTGTGTCACTTCTTGTTGGGGATCTCATTTTTCCTAAGGAAAAGAGCTAGAGGTGATGTCTAGGAGATTTTTCACTGTATACTGATGAAACTTCTGTCAATCTCAAGAATATTTCTGGCTAATGTGAGTCTATTTCTGCAATTATTTCTTTATTTACAGTAAAGAATGCGAGACCTAACGGCCCAGGTAACGAGCAGTCTGCTGCAGTTTCCAGAGGTGACTCTTCAGGCACTTGGGGAAGATGAGATAACCCTCGATTCTGTGCTGTGTGGGAAGTTTTCTGGAGGTGAGTGTTTTCCTTTAAAATTGGTCTTGGTATGAAGTTATTGTTGCCCAGAAGTTACCTGAAGCCACGGGTCGTAGTATAATTGTGTCAGGTTGGTGCGTTGGAGATGCGTCAGGTTTAGAGAGAACAAAAGGGATGCTTTAACACTTAAAAATGCTAATGTTAAACGTGAGTATAGCTAAACTTTGAAGTTATGACAACCTGCACCAATCTTGTGCCGTTAAAATAATTCACTTGAACATGCTGAATTAGTGAGCCTTCCTCAATTTTTAATTAGATAAAAGGCAGTTTTCAAAAAAGCAGTAGTGTTTTTTTGGGCGGCCTTTCTTTCCACAAGCTCAACCTTTATGACCATCATAACATCAAATGCAGAAATAGTTCTCCTACAGTGTTAGAGAAGAAAGCCCCCTGCTTTTTGTTTTGTTATCTGAATAAAAAGAGAAGGAAGGGGATAAGACTGTTAAGCACCGCAGCCACGTTTCCAAAGTATCTAATAGGATGCAGATGGAGTAGCCAGTGAGAGCTGCTGGAAGTGGCTAAGCAGATTAGGTAGTCGACTTTCTGGGTGATCTGACAGTAGAGCCGGTGCAGATCTGGATGTCTAGGCTTCTGATAAGAGCAGGTAGAATCTATCTGCCTGACTGTAAATGGAGTAATGGAGTTAATTCTTCCTTTGAGCTTGAAGTAGTTCAGTGAAACGAAATGCGTTAAATTCTTCCTGTGATCAGCCTGTGTGAAAGTTTCAATTCCCTCACGCAGTGCCCATTTTAGGATAATTTCTTGTTGAAGTCCAAATCCTTGCCCAAAGGAGGCACGTGTCAAGTAGAATTGATAAACCAGAAATGAATTGGCTTAGATGTGTTATGTGTGGGGAACGCTTTAAGGCTTGTGTTCCCATATGTATTTGGACGATTCCGACCAAACCCAAGCCCAAGAGGGTATAAAGACTCTAGATCAAGATATTGTAATCTTGGTCCCAAACAATCCAGATTCTTCAGTGCAGGAATGACAAGTAGAAATGGAAAATAACAAGGTTGTTATTTTTAAGTGGTATTCCTTGAGGATTTCAATGGGTGATTTGGAGTAATTGACCAGGATGAGGTAAGTTGGTCTTCCCTTTATTAGGTACGTTTTTTGAAGGCAAGGGGCAGTGACTGTGAGTTTTTTTTTTCCCCAGTTGTTTTCAGTCTTCCACTGGAGATTTGCTTTAACCAGCTTTCTTTCCTCTTGCAGGGAGAAATGGCCTGGCGTGGTTGGCATGTGGTCCTCAACTTGAGGTAGTGAACTCTGTGACAGGAGAGCGTCTCTCTGCGTACCGCTTCAGTGGAGTAAATGGACAGCCTCCCACTGTGCGTGTGGTAAAGGAGTTTTCCTGGCAGAAGAGAACCGGGCTGCTGGTTGGGTTGGAAGAAGCAGAGGGAAGTGTTCTCTGTCTGTACGACCTTGGAGTATCAAGAGTGGTTAAAGCAGTTGTTCTTCCCGGAAGGGTACGTACTTTTTAATGGGAGAAACAAAGCTTTTCTGTTGCGAGGTGCTGCATAACCCTGTTTCAGGACAAGCTTTGGAGAGTGTCTTTGTAGGAGGTATTTCTTCTGCAGTGCCTTTAGCTACTGTCACTTGAGAGTATCCAGTCAAGAGAGCGCTGATGCACAGTCTTGGGCTTAGTGGTACCATTATGCTTTGAGTTTACTGATAGTAAACCAAGTCTTCTGGTTGGCCTGTAGAGCACATAGTTACTTGCCACACAAAGGGATTGAAAATACCCTTTTTTTGGCCCTCGTTGCTTGATTTCTGTCAGAAAGACTGTCTTTACAATGTCTGAGAATTCCACAGTTGTGCTGTAAATGACACATTCCCACGAATCTCAGCCCAGCAAGCAGGTGACTGTAGAGCAGACCACATATTTCTGTTGACTTAGGAGGGGAGAAAAGAGCCTTTAGTGAATTGCCCAACAGATTGTTGAAAGATTGACTGTCAGCCGACAGCCCTTGAATCTCTGCTCTTTGTTATGTTTGTGTAGATGGGATCCAGCAGTGGGGTAGATGGGTGTAAGGTTACTGATTTTTTTTTCTGTCTTCTGTAACCCATAAACTCCAATGAGTAATGTCCCCTAGCCTTCCTATCTGAATGTAAACAAGAATGAGTGTAAGTTAATAGAAGATCAAGACTCACTGTATTTTCATCATCTTAGAGTCTGCAACAAATAAGAACTTACTTCTTGCCCAGCTTTCCGTAAGGTGATTTGGTTTGACTTGCGAGAACACAGGTGGAGCTCTGTCGGTGATGCTACAGCGTGTTTCCTGGCAGTGAGCATTTGTATTGTGGTCGTTTATAGAGACAGGAGTTGGGTTGGTGCTCCGCTGTGTTAGTTTGCCTCTAAATCTTAGAGTTTTAGCTGGATAAGCGTATCATCAGTAGATAAATTCTGTTTGAGCAAAAGGACGTGGCTTTGTTAAGATTTATTGTGTAAACCTAAGCAAGTTGGGGATAGGAAAAGGAAAGGGTAAGAGGGATTGTGTCCCATATGAAATCCGTGTTTAGAGAAGTGTTGTGAAACTGAATGTAGTTATAACCCTCAGTTGTACTAGGGAGTTTTTCCAGACCCCAGAACAAGTGTTTCAGGAGAAAGTACGAGGAAGCCTTGGGGGGAAAAGGTGGTGGTTGTGTGATGAAGGTTACGAGTTCTGGAATGCAGGCAAAGCTGCTCTGAATTTCTGCTCTTATGCCCTGAATGCTCTCGATGACAAGGATGTCTGGTCCGTTGCTTTCATTTTGTTTCCTAATCTTTTTGCCATGAGATTAGTTAGATGAGCATAGGCAGGAGACAGGTATTGCTAGTTGGACTGTTAAGTTCCAGGTTGTGAGTGGGAGTAAGGGCAAGCAAACCCAAGCAGATGAAACTTCTGTGGACAGCTGAGTCGTGCAGGTTAACAGCAACTTAGAATAGCTCTGGTCCAAGGTCTCAGGCCATTACTGTACTAATGCAGGGTATTTCTAGTGACCGTATGACTGCCTTCTAGTGGAAGAGTAGGTGTCTATTGATTCAGACAGCAAAGGGATGAGCTGAAATAACCAAACTCACAAGCTTAGAAAGAATTCTGGCATAATTTTTTTTGAGCACAGAAGCTTAGAAAGAATAGAAAAACCCAGGCAGTTTCAGGAGCTTTTACATGGAAAACGGAAGTGTGAAAACCAGGAAACTTTTTTGGAAGACTGTATGTGAAAATGGAAAAGATTCATTTGGAGCCAGTTGTTAAGATTCATCAAAGTGCTGGTGTGCGTTTAAAACTTCTTTTCCTTTGGTTGTTACTTTCATTCTCAATGAGGACTGGTGTAAATTTTGCTAAGGTAGTCTGTCCCTTCAACACTTTCTAAATAAGTTTCATTCCCATGGAAAGAGTGTGTCTACAGTGCAGCTTGGCTGCTGCTTCGTCTGACCTAGAGCCACGATTTCTCCTAATATCCGTTTGGTGAAGAAGGTATAGGCTGTGTCACTGATTGCTGATGGGCCGGGAGCAGTCGGAGAACTAGATTTAGTTTTGTTTAGGGTCTTCCTTAAGTCACTTGAATATGAGACAGGTTCTTGAGTATGACTCATTTTCTGTTTTCTTTGAGTTAATAATTCCTAAGTAGGAAATGGGAATTGGTAAGCTGTAATAAAAGAAAGCACCATTTAAGTTGAAATTAATTCCGTTAAGGAACTGTAGGAAATGTAGTAAATGGAAGGCAGAAGCTGATTTTTGTAGATGGATATTTTTTTTTTATTTTCTTTATCTAATTAGAAACCTTGCTTTTAAGTCTTGTGCTCCTGTATTTACTTTCTTGTTCCAGATGTGCTAATTCTGGCTTTGCTTTTGATGATTTCTATTTAGCTTGTCGAAGAGCTAAAATACTAACGTGTAGTTTTCCTGTAGGTAACTGCTATAGAACCCATAGCGAATCACGGAGGAGCCAGCGTGAGAACTCAGCACCTCCATCAGAGCCTGCGATGGCTCTTTGGAGTGGCAGTAGTGGCTACAGATGTTGGCCATCTGCTTCTGGTTGACCTTTGTTTGGATGATTTATCTTGCAGTCAGAATGAAATCGAAGCATCAGGTAAGCTTGCAGTTTTTAGACTTGAATTTCAATGTAGGAAAACTTGTGTGTTTTCAATAAACAGTAGGCATCCTGCTTTGCAGACGAATGTCTCGGACATTTATGGCTACTAATTACAGGTGGCAGTTTGACACTGTGTAGTCCTGAACTGATCAAATCTGGGAGGGGCTGACTACTCCTAATGCTCTAAATGTCCCCCTCCCACCAAGATCCCTGTGTCACTATGATTCTTGCCAGTGAGGTGTAGGAATTTTGCCGTCTGAGTTGGTGCAGCTGCCCGGTAGGTGGTTGTGTCAGAGGTGCCCTGTTTCTTGGGAATGCTTGTGTTAATTGACTCGGGGCAAATTTTAGGCTTGTGTTTTAAAAGAAATCTGACATGTCAAAAACCATGCATTTGGATGAAGGCAAATTCTAATTGGTGTATTCAGATTGTATACACTGTTTTGGCTATTACAGCAGTGGCATCAGGAGCTGGTGTCACTTCAAATGGCTTCATCATGAGGCCCCAATGCCCGATGTAGAAAGCCCTAGAAGAATTTGTCTGTGCGGGTTACCCTTGTACCTGGTTTTCAAATATGAGTGAGAATAGTTGTCTGATCAGAGAGGTCTTGTGTTCTTTGAAGACACACAAAATGGCAATGGCAAAAGAGGTGTTGCATAAATGGGTGTTTTGCCTGGTACGGTAGAATTAGATTATAGGTGTCATCATGTCAGTGTATAAAAGGCAGCCTAAATGTCATAACATATTCATTTGTTGCATGGTTTTGTGTGCGTAGATCTAGAAGTTGTCACTAGAAACCCTGCTGAAGTTTCACTAAGAAGAGAAAGTGTGACCAGAGAAGGGAGACATCTCTGTTTTCAATTACAAACTCCTTCCGGAACAGCAGTGTCAACGCTGAGCTACATAAGCAGAAGCAATCAGCTCGTCGTGGGTTTCTCAGATGGCTACCTGTCTCTATGGAATATGAAAACTTTGAAGAGAGAGTAAGTAGGCCTTCACCCTTGGCCACGCCCGGAGGTGCGGGGGTCTCCATTTTTTGCTTAAGGAGGTATGTGAATTGAAAGAGAGCTTTTTCAGGGACTGCAATAAGAGTAATCTGGGCATGTTTAGCAATCCTCGCCTGAAATAACTTTTAAGTCATGCCTGGATTAAGTGGGCCACCTTCTCCCCTGAAAGGGGATCCGGATTCTTTTCCTTATTGTGCCTGTGGTTGAGGAATTGTGGAAAGCATGAATCTTTGTGTTATGTCGAACAGTTAGGGTGCGATAGAGCTGATTTCAATCAGACAGTTTGTTCTGTCAGTAGTATTCAGTGGGACCAGGAAATGTGTGTAATTTGATGGAATGGATTTTAGAAACGAATTTTCTGAAGCGGTTGCTGCGACTGGGCATGCCTTGAAAGGCTGAAGCATGTTAATGATGTGATTTTGGTGATAATATTCTTGGAAGTGTCCAGGGTGAGACGGGTGAGACATGAAAACTCAATAGCTGATCTGTGCCTGACAAATATATTCTTTCCTACGTGTCAGCCTTGGCCAAACTAGGAGGTTGGCCCATTCCAAGGCAACAATGCATGTGAATGAAAGTTTGCTTAGAACACTTGTCAGGGAGAATAACGGACATGTAAATGTATAAGGAACAGAATAATTAAGAGAGGATTTTAAACCTGCCAAAGAGCAATCTCACTTACATATTTGACCAACTTCACGTCAGCAGATCTGCACTGACTCACCAGAGGCTATTGGATGCATAAGTAGACAGTGAAGGAATAATTAGGTGGCAGGAATAGACTGCTCAGAAGTCTGGAAGAAAAATGCTTTACGTTGTCCAAGAAATGAGAAACTACTTGTGTTTGGCACTGTTTTACATTTGTTCAGAAGATACCCTGCATTGTAAGGTTGATATTGAAGTAGGCTACAACGGTACGAACAATCTTTTGCTTGGCAGCTGAAGAAATCCTTGATGTTCCTCCTCCTGAGGCAGAGGAGGTCATAAAGACAGAGGTTATGGCATTTGCTGGACGGTAATTTCACCAGTAGGCCAGTAGGTTCACCCTTTTTTTTTTTTACCTTTCTTTTTTTTCCTTAAACCCGTAGGCACCACTCTCAGCTTGAAGGAGGAGGGATTCCTGTCTATGCTGTCACTTTTCAAGAGCCTGAGAATGATCTTCGCAATTGTTGCTACTTGTGGGCTGTTCAGTCTACACAGGAAAGGTGAATGAAAACTTACTATAAGCCTCTAAATAATTTATTTAATTTATTGACATATATGCTCATGTACAGTTGATACATGTGTATCTGTTGTGTTTCTTTAGCTGTGCAGGAGATTCTCTCAGGTATGGAAGGTGTTACACTTAGAATGCCATTTTCACAAGCTTGAACAGGCGTGAAGAGGCACCTACCAGTTCCTACCTTCTGAAGGAAGGCAGAGCAACAGTGGCCATATTTTTGTGCTTGCATTCTAAAATGATTTCCTTTTGTTTCTCGATGACTCCTTCATGCTTTGTTTGATATTCACACCCCGTGGTCTTAAGATAAAGTAGTAAAGATAAAAAGTAGTTGAGGCTGCAGATCTAGAGGACTAAACATGCCGATACAACAGCCTGCTGCCCCCAAAGGAGGGCAGTGACAGTCTTACAGATTGCCTCATGCCAGCTTGAGCAGTCTGTGGAGCCTTCATGAGGTAGTTCGGCTCACTTGGCCGAACAGGATTGAGCAGGAAAGTCAATGGGTTCCTGCTGGACTACTGAATCAAATCAGAATGTGAAAGGGTGCAGTGTATGCAGGAGAGGGACTGGAACTATGGTGGTAAGGCAAGGGGAGAAAGATCTCTCTTTGTGCATCAGCAAGTGCATCAGCTCAGCTGTTTGTGGAGTGGCAATCTTTTTGAGTTGAAAGCAGTTTGGATCATAGAAGGGTTTGGTTTGGAAGGGACCTTAAAGATCATCGAGTTCTAACCCCCCTGCCGTGGGCGAGGAACACCTCCCACTAGAGCAGGTTGCTCAAAGCCCCATCCAGCCTGGCCTTGAACACTTCCAGGGATGGGGGCATCCACAACTTCTCTGGGCAGCCTGTTCCAGTGCCTCCCCACCCTCACAGTAAAGAACTTCTTCCTAATATCTAATCTAAATTTTCCCTCTTTCCCTCGTCCTGTCGCTACAGTGCCTGGTAAACAGTCCCTCCCCATCTCTCCTGGAGGCCCCCTTTAGACACTGAAGGCTGCTATAAGGTCTCCCCGGAGCCTTCTCTTTTTCCAGGCTGAACAGCCCCTATTCTCTCAGCCTGTTTTCATAGGAGAGGTGTTCCAGCCCTCTGATCATCTTCGTGGTCCTCCTCTGGACCCGCTCCAACAGGTCCATGTCCTTCCTGTGCTGAGAACTCCAAAGCTGGACACGGTACTCCAGGTGGGGTCTCACCAGAGCAGAGTAGAGGGGTTGAATCACCTCCCTCGACCTGCTGGCCATGCTTCTTTTTGAGGCAGCCCAGATTGAGAACTCTTCACTGTGAAGAACTATTTCCAATGATTTCTAGTCCATACAACGGATTAAAGCTTGCAGATTGTATGGTTAGCATTTGCCCCTGAAGCTGTTAGTGTCAGACCGTCCTCCTTCATGTTTTAGCGGCAAAATGTGGCCAATGATCGTGTTTCGGGAAGAGGTGTATTTGTTTTCAGCAAGAGCTGAATGCAATTAAGAAAATTTCTCTCTAGATGTAATAAAATGATAGTGAGGACTGTAAAGCAGCTTTGTAATTAAATTTCATACTTTATCCCTTTTTCAGCGAAGGTGACGTGGTGAGTTTACACCTGTTGCAGTTAGCATTTGGTGACAGAAAGCGCGTGGCATCAGGACAAGTCATGTATGAGGTAAGATGTGCATGCGTGTGAAAAGAAGAAAATAGGAATTTTGTTTACGTGAGTATCAGCTGAGTTAGCAGGGGTAAGATTTACCATGGAAATTCTAATTGAGCTAATTGAAATAAATAATAATCTTGTGCCAAGTCTTACTCAGCATGGCCTTTGTCCATACTTTTTGGAAATTAGACATATAATTTTATTCTGCAGTGTCATGTGTTTGCACTAGATTCATCTGCAAGGTCCTTTATAAATTTTATTCCTGAAGAGGAAGCAGCTTTTAGAAATAAAATTTTTCTTAGCCACGGAATTAATGGCATGTAGGTAGAGAAGACAGGGCCTTGAATAGTTTTGTTTAACTAAGCTGCAGACTTGAATAAGCTTTTGCCTGTCTGCCTTTTTTAAAATGCGCTCATATATCTCTTTATTCCTTGCTGATCTTCGGGTTTTGTTTTCTTAGTTTTCTTCTGAGTTTTGTGAGCTGGACTTCATATGCAGTGTGCCTACAGTGTCTGTTAAGTGTTGATCCTGAAACTTAGTAGCTGTAAAGATAACTCATTCTTTTTGCCTGGGTGACCTATTAAATATACTGTCAAAGACACAAAATGTGTAAATAGCATGAACAGTGATATGATATGATTTGGTGAGAGGATTATACAACAAAGTTAAATCTGGCTCCAAAGAGGATGTGTTTAAAATATAAATGAAGTATCATTGTATTTCATATAGGTAACAGATATGAGGCACATCTGTATAATGTATAATTCCATTTAGTAGTATGCTTGGAAGTCTTCCAAAATCTTTTTGAGGGGAAGGTAATCTTAATTCAGAACAAGTCTTTCCTCCTATTGTTAATACTTTCTTTTGCATATTCTGAATAGATACAGAATGAAATAGGGGTGACTCTTTGACTCTTGTATCCTGGTAGTCTTCTTTTTATAGGGACTGTGTGTTTTGATTTTTCTGAATTAGTTCAGTTTTTGACTCTTCCTTATATGTAGGAAAGCTCCTTCCTCATGTGTCTTTAGTGCTTTTGAATAGATAAAGGTTATGTGTTTGGAAAAGTTGGTGTGTCTTTAAAATGCATTATCTATAATCATGACAAAGTAGAAAGATCTTCAAGTGATGCAGCTGGTTCTAAATATGGATGTCATCTCTTTGTTGATATGCAATGTTTTTTATGACAGAAATATGCAGTGCTCTAGAGAAACAGAGCACCCTGATTAGTTTTTTTTAGTTCTGAAAGGGCTTTTGTTGCAATTCACTGCTCCATCTCTTGTAGCGCTCTAAGCCCTTTGGCAGGTTGATAGGAGAAAGTTTCTTTAATCTCTCTCCAGTTTCACTTTTTAACTTCTGCTTTTTTAATTCTCTTTTAAAAGTTATATTTAGCTACAGTCTTAGCAGTGGCAAAGACAATACCTCGTACCGTGTGCTTCTTTGGAAAACAGCCAGTTGTCTATGCATGTCTCTTGTGGCCACTTTGTTCTGTCTCAATGCTTTAATGTTAAAATGTGGGACCTTTAATTCTTCACTTGTCTTGGTCATCTTATTTTCCTGAACAAGATGTGCCATGTGTCAGGTTTTACCACGGAGGGTTGAAATGTTTCAGCAGCCTTTAAAAATGGGTCTACCGGAAATTCCAGTTGACACTCTTTAAAAAGACACACATTGATTAAATGTTTTTGTGTTTGTAACTTGAGAAAGTTGTGGTGAGGTTAATGTAGGACTTGTAACCCTCTATAGACTGTGCAAGCAGTTACACGTTCACAGGCTGTGTGAGGCATCAGTCTCTGGCTCTGCGATATTTTACTCCCTTGCAGTTTCTGCTTGCCTGTGATGAGCGCTGTGGAAGACTGAAACAGGAACCAATCTTACAGGGCAGTTGAAGAGAGGAGTAAACAGCTGGACCATCTGGCAAGAAAAGACAGGTTCTTGAGCTAGCTGCCAGATGAGCCGTGTACACACAGAGCTTCATACCGGGTCCTGATAACACCTACTGCCAAAAAAAAGCCCAGGCCACAAAACAAATCCCAAACCCAAAACATCACCAAAACACGCATTAGGACAGGACCTGTGCTCTACAGTGGGCACTGTTAGTCTGAGAATGCTTCCGTGTAGTCACAGATTGGTCAGTACTACATGACTGTCTGCTTACATGCTGTCTGTCAAGTTTCTTGTCCATTTTCAGTGGCAGAAAATTTAAGAGTAGCTTCTATTTGCTAGGCCATGTTTGAGTAAACAAGGAGTAATCTGCTGTTAATCCTTGTTCATGCGATAGGGTTTATAGGAACTTGAAAGAATTTTCTACTACAGCAGTGCTTTTTGTTCCAGGCATGAGATTTGAAGCTATGAAGCAGTGCATCTTTGACTTTGTATCATGGTAAAAGTCACAAATAGGACTTTTGGAACATGTGGTACTGTGTTTTTGCAAACATTTGTCAAACTTATGTCTCCATTGCCTTTAAGTCATCTCAAGTAATTAAACATAAAGGTATGTTTAAGTTACGCTTGAAAAGACCTTTTTGTATGCTATCTCAGCAGTTGCTAAATCTAGTGCATCACATCATGATCATAGAGCACATTTTTACCTTTGTCCTACCCAATGCTTGTGGATGGATATAGTACACACTCTCTGCTTTCATATCATAGTTTGACCAGTGGATCTCATTTGAAAACTGTCTGTATTTTACAAGTCGATAAAGCCATTACTTAATACCTCCCATACAATCGGAGGTATTTAGATTTACTTTACCCACTGTGGAAAGTTTAAAGTCCGCTGCTTTGCTTCAGAAGTGTTTTTAGTAATGGAAGACTTTTTCTTAATTATAATTTTTGGGTTTTTTTTTTTAAACAGCCTTGATATCTATTTGTAGCATTTCCTGAAACCTTTAAAAGAAAGCTTATCTCTTCTCAGATTAGGTGAATTAGATGTATCTGTGAAATCACATGGGAATGTGTTGTTTCATGCCAGTTCATTTTAAGGCTCTGAAAGATTTGGAAAATTGGGTAGAATGTGGTGTTACCTGTTTCTCAATTGCGTGTGGGTCTTTTTGTTTGTTTTGTTTGTGGGTTTTTTTATTGTTGTTGTGTTGTTTTGTTTTAAAGTGTAGAGCTGCTGTTTGTCCACAACACACCCATTCAAGTGTTGTATGGTGGACAGTTTGGACAAATGCTGTGTTTGGAAAGACAATATCTCAATTAATGCTTACTTAGAAAATGGTGGTATCAGAGGTAGAACACAATCCTGTCAGGGTTTCTGTGTCTTTCAAAGTAGTTTGCTTACTCTGTAGTAATTTGTGATCCTAAATGCCTTGGCCATGGACGTGCCATGTCCTCTCTGTTTTTCCTTTTTGCTGTCGGCTGTGCTTGGTGAAGGAACTGAGGGATATTTCACCCATTCATCTCTGACAAGATGAGAAGAGGAGCTGGCAGGAGCTTGCACGGTTTGAAAGATGATTGTAAATCAGTGTGAAGTTCTCATAGGTGCTAGAGAGGGATGCGTGTTCACTCTGGTGGTGTGCCTATAGATAATACCTCTTGAGAGAGCTTTAGCTACTCTAGTGCCCGAACTTCTCTGACTTTACCACTTCTGTAATCAAGACACGGAGCAAAGAGCTTTGTATGCATGTGTGTTGCATTATTTCAGATCTGAATAATGTTAGGGAAATTATAAATTTGGAAAAAATGCAAAGCCTCTACAGCCAAACTTAGCCATCAGGATTTGACGCTTAATTCTCGTGTGTCAGATGTAGTTTCTTTTCAGTATCAGAAATAAGCTCATACAAAATATACGGTATAATATTATGCATAGATCTTCCTTCATATCCAGCTGTAATACATGTTTTTATCTCAAATGACCTTTTCTCTCTTCTTTTATTTTTCCCCAGGGCTTGGAATACTGTGATGAAAGGTACAGTTTAGATCTCACGGGTGGAGTCTTTCCCTTGAGAGGCCAGACCAGGAATACTAAATTAATCAGCTGCCAGACTGTAGAAAAATTTCGCAACCATGTTGACAGAGAGGATAGCATAAATGAAGGTTTGTTCTGATGTCCATGTTTGGTGATTATAAAATAAGCATTGAATGCTGTTCTGTCCCCATAGTCTGAAAGTCTTAACTATCTACATAGACAAGATTGTTGGGGTTATTTAAAAATAAAAATTGGGTTATGTTGAACTTCTTTAAAGAGAAAAAATTGGTTTTATTTTGTGCTTGCAGATATGCTATCACGATGTATGGTGGGTTCATCTATATAATGCTGGTCCATCGATTTATTCCTCCAGCTGTCATCTTCAAACAATAAGATAATTTTCTCCATTGTTTAGGAAAGTTGCCTGAATTTTGTTCTCTCGTTCAAACCTATGTCTGCATCCAGATGGTGGCCTGTCACAAATTGGGTTCCCCAGGGCTCTGTTTCAGGGCCAGTTCTCTTTAATATCTTTGACTGATCTGGATGAGGGAATGGAGGGCACCCTCGGTAAGTTTGCAGACAACACCAAGTTGGCTGGGAGCGTTGATCTATGTGCTTGATGGTAGAAAGGCTCTACAGAGGGATGTGGACAGGCTGGATCAATGGGCTAAAGCCAATTTTATGTGATTCAAGAAGGCCATGTGCCAGGTCCTGCTCTTGGGTTGCAACGACTCCATGCAGCATTACAGACTTGGGGAAGACTGCCTGCAAAGCTTTCTGGTAGAAAAAGACCTGGGGGTGTTGGTTGAGAACTGTCTGAATATAAGCCAACAGTGTGCCCAGGTGACCAGGGCAGCCAACAGCATCTTGGCTTGTATCAGAAATAGTGTGGCCAGCAGGACTACTGAAGTGATGGTCCCCCTGTACTCGGCACTGGTGGGGCCCCACCTGGAGTACTGAGTTCAGTTTTGGGCCCCTCCCTGGCAGAAAGACACTGAGGTGCTGGAGCGTTCCAGAGAAGGGCAACAAAGCAGGTGAAGAGTCTAGAGCACAGGTTTTAAGAGGAGCAACTGGGGGAACTGGAGTTGTTTAGCCTGGAGGAAAGGAGGCTGAGGGGAGGCCTTTTTGTTCTCTACAACTATCTGTAAAGAGGTTGTAGCGAGGTGGAGGTTGGTCTCTTCTCCCAAGTCACAGGTGATAGAAGAGGAAACGGCCTCAAGTTGTGCCAGGGGAGGTTTAGATTGGATATTAGGAAAAATTTCTCCCTAGAAAGGGTTATCAAGCATTGGAACAGGCTGCCCAGGGAAGCGGGCATCCCTGGAGGTATTTGAGAGACATGGCGATGTGTGCTTAGGGACATGGTTTAGTGCTGGACTTGGCACTGTTACGTTGATGGTTGGACTCAATGATGTTAAGGGTCTTTTCCATTCTAAATGTTTTTATGATCCACTTGTCCATTTTTTTCCTCTCTAAATCTAATAGGTTCCTAAACCTACAGGCTCTTTAAGGAATAGACACAGTTAAAACTCTCACAGTGTCTTCCATTATCTTGCAATAATTGAATATGTGTCTTTGTGCTTAGAAATTCAGTTCTGCTCTGACCATATCTTTGAGCCTGCTGCAGAGAGAACTTCTGTTGCCTTTAGTTTTGAGTGCATTATTTGCCTTCCCTCTCTTCTTACTGGCCTTAACTTATGTCTGATGTTACAAAGAAGACACTTGCAGTATTTCTGTTTATTATCTTGATTTAGTCCTGAAGTGGCAACTACCATTTCTTTTATGATGCCAACCTCTACCAACAGTGTGTCAAAATCTATTAAAAACACCTTTTGTATTTTTGCTATTTGTGTTACATTTCTTAGGAAAGTGTCTGCTAAAAACTTATTAAGATCAAACAAACACCAGCACCCCAGTCCTCCCCCCTAAAACCAAACCAAAACAACAAAAAAACCCTTTGTCTTCTTTTTATGAAATATGAGGCATGGAGAAATGCCTGCAATTTTTTTTCATTGGCTTATATTCAGAATCTGTTAAATTCTAGGCAAACATCAGCTTCTGTTGGATGTGGGTTGAGGCTAGTAATGAAGCTGTCTTATAAATTATAAAAATAATTGATATCTAGATATAATTGATATGACAACAGTTTCAGGAGCTAACAAAACTGAAATGGCACAGGAGCTCACAATGAAACATACCAAAGTGTGTGAGGATCCCTGAATGGTAATGATGAAGTCAACAGAGAAACATTTGCCAAACAAATCTTTTTCCTTATGCTATTAGGGTAAATGATATACCATATACTTCACTTACATCCAGAGAATGTATTCTCTGTAAAGAAAATAGACCATTGCATTTATTGACAGAACTGAAATATAACACTGTGAATGTTTATGTTAAAATCCTTATTCCTGTTTCTGGTTTGTTGGGTTTGTTTATTCATTTATTTATTGTGGTAATTGTGTTCTTTCATTCTGAATATGCTGGAAAGGAGCTATTCTTAAAACCTGTAATTGAGTTGGAGCTGGAAATGAATAGTGCCAGCTGTGTGAATACAATTGTATGCGACAGTTACTTGTATGCTTTCCAAAAGTAGCAACATATGTGATTCTGGCATGGTTTTTTTGTTAAAGTATTCGTCTTGCTAAATGTCTTGACCAACACTTTATGTATGAAAAACTTAATTAGCTAATAGTTGTGTATTTGATTTGGCTTAGAACTGATACAATTTGAACAAGAAAAAAGGGGGTTTATGACTGAAACCAATCACAGAGATCTTTGCTATTCCTTAATTCTTTTTAATTGCTCCTAGTGAGTATTGTGTTTTCTCAGTGACAGAACAGAATTAAGCCAAACAAGGAAGTGGTGTTTTTAAAATATCCGATCTATCGTATTTTCTACAAATAAGTAACGATGTCTTGTCTTTTACAGTAATATCTCCTGAAACCAGCGTCTCAATCTTCAGTTGGCAAGTGAATACATATGGTCAGGAAACACCGTCTACTTATTTGGGTGTCTTTGACATCAATCGCTGGTATCATGCTCAAATGCCAGATTCACTCAGGTAGATCTTTGTTGTTTCCAATATCCCTGCAAATAATTCATTTGAGTGTCGGATGTTTTGCTTACGTGCTTGTTTTCTTCAAGGCCGGAAGAATTCCTTCATGACTGCCCCTATTTTGCATTGTGGTCACTGGATACTGTAATAAGCATGACTTCTCCAAAGCTCCTTTTGGATATTCTGGTACATGAGCGGAGTCTAAGTCGGGGAGTTCCTCCTTCTTACCCACCACCTGAGCAGTTTTTTAATCCAAGCACCTATAATTTTGGTAGGTATTTCACTGCCTTTGAGAGTGATAAGCTTCAAATGAGGTCAAATGCCATTTATTGGTTCTCTTGTTCGTTCATTGTTTGTCACTCAAAAGCCAAAACAAAACAGAAGAACCCCAGCTCCCCTCAACTCAACTCTGGTTATGTTGTACTGACTGGGTATTTACTGTTGTGAAATGTATCTGCTAGTCTGCTGAGTTTTGGTGCTTTTGTAATGTAGCCTGTGAAGTGGTGCTGGTTATAAAATGAAATGACTTTATGAGGAGAGGCTGAGGGACTTGTGTCTTTTTAGCCCGGAAAAGAGAAGACTAAGGGGGGGGATCTGGTCAAGGCCTATAAATACTTAAAGGTGGGTGTCAAGAGGATGGGGCCTGTCTTTTTTCAGCGGTGCCCAATGACAGGACAAGAGGTAACGGGAACAAACTTGAACACAGAACGTTTCATCTAAACATGAGGAGGAACTTCTTTACTTTGAGGGTGGCAGGGCACTGGAACAGGCTGCCCAGAGAGGTGGTGGAGTCTCCTTCTCTGGAGACATTCCAAACCTGCCTGGACGCGATCCTGTGTAACCTGCTGTAGGTGGACCTGCTCTGGCAGGGGGCTTGGACTAGATGATCTCCAGAGGTCCTTTCATACCCCATATCCTTCTGTGATTCTGTGGGAACCGAAGCTCAGAGTACTCAGTTATACCTTTCCAGATACTGCTATTTGGAAAGTGTAAGCTGGTCATAACATAACTGCCAGAGTGTGGAAGGTTGTCAAATGTTCATTGTTTCTGCAGGTGGCACGTGCTTGCTGAACGCCGGAGTTGTTCACATGACTTGCACCGGACTCCAGAAGGAGGTGATCTTTTACTGTAACTTTATGGAGAATGGCAAGAGATGGACCTTTTCTAAGTTTTCTGTTGCGCTGCTTCCAGTGTCAGAGACCATTTTGTGCTCATCCTGCCCATCCACAGGCATAATTGCAATTGTGTCCTGTCACCTATTTTATGCAAATGGTTGTAGGTCCACTCTTGGGACTGTAAAACTACCATTGTCTCCTGCTGAAGCACGATCAGGGATAGAATGTCTAGAAAGGAATGCAAGGTTGCTCTAGGAGCAAGACGAAAACCATTGTGGAAGTTGGGGAAAGCTGCTATTGTATTACCCATCAGTCAAACTGCCTGCACAGTCTTGAGTAGGAGTGTTGATCCCCAATTTACTTGGAAAAGGAGGGCAGAATGGAGAAAAATCACTGAACTGTTTGAGAAGAGCTGAAACTTTTTTTCTCCCAAACTTGGCCAATTTATAACTTCTGAGCCACTGCACAGATTGTGACAAATAATTTTGAATTAGGTTTCAGCTCACTAAATATTTCCAACGTGAATCAGCTTCCACACGAACAAGCACGGAAAGGATCTCCCAAAGTGTGATTTGAAGTTGTGTGTTAGTTTAGCTTATACGGGATGGAACTGGTGTCATTGTTCAGGGAAAGTTTTGTATGCATGTGTGTTGCATTATTTCAGATCTGAATAATGTTAGGGAAATTATAAATTTGGAAAAAATGCAAAGCCTCTACAGCCAAACTTAGCCATCAGGATTTGACGCTTAATTCTCGTGTGTCAGATGTAGTTTCTTTTCAGTATCAGAAATAAGCTCATACAAAATATACGGTATAATATTATGCATAGATCTTCCTTCATATCCAGCTGTAATACATGTTTTTATCTCAAATGACCTTTTCTCTCTTCTTTTATTTTTCCCCAGGGCTTGGAATACTGTGATGAAAGGTACAGTTTAGATCTCACGGGTGGAGTCTTTCCCTTGAGAGGCCAGACCAGGAATACTAAATTAATCAGCTGCCAGACTGTAGAAAAATTTCGCAACCATGTTGACAGAGAGGATAGCATAAATGAAGGTTTGTTCTGATGTCCATGTTTGGTGATTATAAAATAACCATTTTTGGAATCTAAGCAATGAATGCTGTTCTGTCCCCATAGTCTGAAAGTCTTAACTATCTACATAGACAAGATTGTTGGGGTTATTTAAAAATAAAAATTGGGTTATGTTGAACTTCTTTAAAGAGAAAAAATTGGTTTTATTTTGTGCTTGCAGATATGCTATCACGATGTATGGTGGGTTCATCTATATAATGCTGGTCCATCGATTTATTCCTCCAGCTGTCATCTTCAAACAATAAGATAATTTTCTCCATTGTTTAGGAAAGTTGCCTGAATTTTGTTCTCTCGTTCAAACCTATGTCTGCATCCAGATGGTGGCCTGTCACAAATTGGGTTCCCCAGGGCTCTGTTTCAGGGCCAGTTCTCTTTAATATCTTTGACTGATCTGGATGAGGGAATGGAGGGCACCCTCGGTAAGTTTGCAGACAACACCAAGTTGGCTGGGAGCGTTGATCTATGTGCTTGATGGTAGAAAGGCTCTACAGAGGGATGTGGACAGGCTGGATCAATGGGCTAAAGCCAATTTTATGTGATTCAAGAAGGCCATGTGCCAGGTCCTGCTCTTGGGTTGCAACGACTCCATGCAGCATTACAGACTTGGGGAAGACTGCCTGCAAAGCTTTCTGGTAGAAAAAGACCTGGGGGTGTTGGTTGAGAACTGTCTGAATATAAGCCAACAGTGTGCCCAGGTGACCAGGGCAGCCAACAGCATCTTGGCTTGTATCAGAAATAGTGTGGCCAGCAGGACTACTGAAGTGATGGTCCCCCTGTACTCGGCACTGGTGGGGCCCCACCTGGAGTACTGAGTTCAGTTTTGGGCCCCTCCCTGGCAGAAAGACACTGAGGTGCTGGAGCGTTCCAGAGAAGGGCAACAAAGCAGGTGAAGAGTCTAGAGCACAGGTTTTAAGAGGAGCAACTGGGGGAACTGGAGTTGTTTAGCCTGGAGGAAAGGAGGCTGAGGGGAGGCCTTTTTGTTCTCTACAACTATCTGTAAAGAGGTTGTAGCGAGGTGGAGGTTGGTCTCTTCTCCCAAGTCACAGGTGATAGAAGAGGAAACGGCCTCAAGTTGTGCCAGGGGAGGTTTAGATTGGATATTAGGAAAAATTTCTCCCTAGAAAGGGTTATCAAGCATTGGAACAGGCTGCCCAGGGAAGCGGGCATCCCTGGAGGTATTTGAGAGACATGGCGATGTGTGCTTAGGGACATGGTTTAGTGCTGGACTTGGCACTGTTACGTTGATGGTTGGACTCAATGATGTTAAGGGTCTTTTCCATTCTAAATGTTTTTATGATCCACTTGTCCATTTTTTTCCTCTCTAAATCTAATAGGTTCCTAAACCTACAGGCTCTTTAAGGAATAGACACAGTTAAAACTCTCACAGTGTCTTCCATTATCTTGCAATAATTGAATATGTGTCTTTGTGCTTAGAAATTCAGTTCTGCTCTGACCATATCTTTGAGCCTGCTGCAGAGAGAACTTCTGTTGCCTTTAGTTTTGAGTGCATTATTTGCCTTCCCTCTCTTCTTACTGGCCTTAACTTATGTCTGATGTTACAAAGAAGACACTTGCAGTATTTCTGTTTATTATCTTGATTTAGTCCTGAAGTGGCAACTACCATTTCTTTTATGATGCCAACCTCTACCAACAGTGTGTCAAAATCTATTAAAAACACCTTTTGTATTTTTGCTATTTGTGTTACATTTCTTAGGAAAGTGTCTGCTAAAAACTTATTAAGATCAAACAAACACCAGCACCCCAGTCCTCCCCCCTAAAACCAAACCAAAACAACAAAAAAACCCTTTGTCTTCTTTTTATGAAATATGAGGCATGGAGAAATGCCTGCAATTTTTTTTCATTGGCTTATATTCAGAATCTGTTAAATTCTAGGCAAACATCAGCTTCTGTTGGATGTGGGTTGAGGCTAGTAATGAAGCTGTCTTATAAATTATAAAAATAATTGATATCTAGATATAATTGATATGACAACAGTTTCAGGAGCTAACAAAACTGAAATGGCACAGGAGCTCACAATGAAACATACCAAAGTGTGTGAGGATCCCTGAATGGTAATGATGAAGTCAACAGAGAAACATTTGCCAAACAAATCTTTTTCCTTATGCTATTAGGGTAAATGATATACCATATACTTCACTTACATCCAGAGAATGTATTCTCTGTAAAGAAAATAGACCATTGCATTTATTGACAGAACTGAAATATAACACTGTGAATCTTTATGTTAAAATCCTTATTCCTGTTTCTGGTTTGTTGGGTTTGTTTATTCATTTATTTATTGTGGTAATTGTGTTCTTTCATTCTGAATATGCTGGAAAGGAGCTATTCTTAAAACCTGTAATTGAGTTGGAGCTGGAAATGAATAGTGCCAGCTGTGTGAATACAATTGTATGCGACAGTTACTTGTATGCTTTCCAAAAGTAGCAACATATGTGATTCTGGCATGGTTTTTTTGTTAAAGTATTCGTCTTGCTAAATGTCTTGACCAACACTTTATGTATGAAAAACTTAATTAGCTAATAGTTGTGTATTTGATTTGGCTTAGAACTGATACAATTTGAACAAGAAAAAAGGGGGTTTATGACTGAAACCAATCACAGAGATCTTTGCTATTCCTTAATTCTTTTTAATTGCTCCTAGTGAGTATTGTGTTTTCTCAGTGACAGAACAGAATTAAGCCAAACAAGGAAGTGGTGTTTTTAAAATATCCGATCTATCGTATTTTCTACAAATAAGTAACGATGTCTTGTCTTTTACAGTAATATCTCCTGAAACCAGCGTCTCAATCTTCAGTTGGCAAGTGAATACATATGGTCAGGAAACACCGTCTACTTATTTGGGTGTCTTTGACATCAATCGCTGGTATCATGCTCAAATGCCAGATTCACTCAGGTAGATCTTTGTTGTTTCCAATATCCCTGCAAATAATTCATTTGAGTGTCGGATGTTTTGCTTACGTGCTTGTTTTCTTCAAGGCCGGAAGAATTCCTTCATGACTGCCCCTATTTTGCATTGTGGTCACTGGATACTGTAATAAGCATGACTTCTCCAAAGCTCCTTTTGGATATTCTGGTACATGAGCGGAGTCTAAGTCGGGGAGTTCCTCCTTCTTACCCACCACCTGAGCAGTTTTTTAATCCAAGCACCTATAATTTTGGTAGGTATTTCACTGCCTTTGAGAGTGATAAGCTTCAAATGAGGTCAAATGCCATTTATTGGTTCTCTTGTTCGTTCATTGTTTGTCACTCAAAAGCCAAAACAAAACAGAAGAACCCCAGCTCCCCTCAACTCAACTCTGGTTATGTTGTACTGACTGGGTATTTACTGTTGTGAAATGTATCTGCTAGTCTGCTGAGTTTTGGTGCTTTTGTAATGTAGCCTGTGAAGTGGTGCTGGTTATAAAATGAAATGACTTTATGAGGAGAGGCTGAGGGACTTGTGTCTTTTTAGCCCGGAAAAGAGAAGACTAAGGGGGGGGATCTGGTCAAGGCCTATAAATACTTAAAGGTGGGTGTCAAGAGGATGGGGCCTGTCTTTTTTCAGCGGTGCCCAATGACAGGACAAGAGGTAACGGGAACAAACTTGAACACAGAACGTTTCATCTAAACATGAGGAGGAACTTCTTTACTTTGAGGGTGGCAGGGCACTGGAACAGGCTGCCCAGAGAGGTGGTGGAGTCTCCTTCTCTGGAGACATTCCAAACCTGCCTGGACGCGATCCTGTGTAACCTGCTGTAGGTGGACCTGCTCTGGCAGGGGGCTTGGACTAGATGATCTCCAGAGGTCCTTTCATACCCCATATCCTTCTGTGATTCTGTGGGAACCGAAGCTCAGAGTACTCAGTTATACCTTTCCAGATACTGCTATTTGGAAAGTGTAAGCTGGTCATAACATAACTGCCAGAGTGTGGAAGGTTGTCAAATGTTCATTGTTTCTGCAGGTGGCACGTGCTTGCTGAACGCCGGAGTTGTTCACATGACTTGCACCGGACTCCAGAAGGAGGTGATCTTTTACTGTAACTTTATGGAGAATGGCAAGAGATGGACCTTTTCTAAGTTTTCTGTTGCGCTGCTTCCAGTGTCAGAGACCATTTTGTGCTCATCCTGCCCATCCACAGGCATAATTGCAATTGTGTCCTGTCACCTATTTTATGCAAATGGTTGTAGGTCCACTCTTGGGACTGTAAAACTACCATTGTCTCCTGCTGAAGCACGATCAGGGATAGAATGTCTAGAAAGGAATGCAAGGTTGCTCTAGGAGCAAGACGAAAACCATTGTGGAAGTTGGGGAAAGCTGCTATTGTATTACCCATCAGTCAAACTGCCTGCACAGTCTTGAGTAGGAGTGTTGATCCCCAATTTACTTGGAAAAGGAGGGCAGAATGGAGAAAAATCACTGAACTGTTTGAGAAGAGCTGAAACTTTTTTTCTCCCAAACTTGGCCAATTTATAACTTCTGAGCCACTGCACAGATTGTGACAAATAATTTTGAATTAGGTTTCAGCTCACTAAATATTTCCAACGTGAATCAGCTTCCACACGAACAAGCACGGAAAGGATCTCCCAAAGTGTGATTTGAAGTTGTGTGTTAGTTTAGCTTATACGGGATGGAACTGGTGTCATTGTTCAGGGAAAGTGAAAGGCCTGTGTATTGACAGGCTAGAAGATATTTAAGTTAGCATTGCAAGGGCTGATATTTTGGTTTAGAGTATTTTTTTTTAATCAACTGTAACGATTAGTTTCCCTGCTGTCTTTAAGACTCTTCATAGTAATGCTCACTGAAATTGGTAACCTAAAACATCTTACTGATGCAGTTTAAGTGACCATTAGATTATTCCTGTTAGTGAATAACAATGCTGTCTTGAGCTGTTGTTTTTTATTGATGTTTCAGACATTGAATTTTTTGAAGAAATCTGGTCCTTTAATATGTGAAGCCATTCCTGATAGCTATAGTAGGTGTCTTGTAGCTGGCTTGCTGTCTCCAAGACTAGTTGATGTCCAGCCATCCAGTTTGAGTCAGGTGAGTGTGTATCAGGGAGTCAAGGGGGAGATACATCCATCTGGTCTGACAGGGCTGGAGAGACTACAAAACAATCCAATTTTCGTGTTATTTGCAACCTGCATTGAAATACAGGTGTTGACTTGAGTTTGCAGAAGTAATCATATCCTGATGGCAAACTTCAATGCATAGAATGCGTAATGGGTATTAGCAGAGGATGTTTCTGAAAATGGCTCCTTGGAACTCAAGAGGTGAAGACAATAATGGAGAGGCATGCAAATAAGGATTAGAATGAGCCTTCAGTGGGTTGAAATGTCAGAGGAGAAGTTGATGTGTTCCTCAGACCAAGGAGCAGTTCAGCCTGTGGCTAGAATCAAGGCAAAGAATATGGAATTAGTGGCATCTGTGCTGATTGACTTTGCGATGCTTGAACGCGTATACAGTTAGAAAGAAACGTTTACTGTTGATGGTTGAGATGTTGAAAGTAGGTAAGATTGACTTTATAGTTTGCTTGTTGTGTTTAGGAGGAGCAGTTGGAAGCGGTACTGTCAGCTGCTGTTCAGACAGGTTCTCTGGAAGTTCTGACTGGATGCATTAAACATTGGACATCTGAAGGTAATACTGCTTATGGTGTTTGTACGGGATATATTTTTTTAGTTTCAAATTGTTGATTCATTTCTTTGTTCTCTTTTTTTAAAGAGCAGCCAAGTTCTGCTGCTAGTTTACGGTTTGTTCTTGAGTGGACATGGAACAAAGTGATCTCCACAAAAGATGAATTTGACCAAATATGTGAGTACTAGTGTCGTCATTCTGCAAACATAAAATCATTCTTTCTGATCAAGCTGCTTCAGTAATATGCCACTATATGATATTGCACTCAGTTCAAGTGCATTTTGACCCTCTGAAATTTCTCTGTTGGCTAACAATTTAATATTGATTCTTGAAAAGGTGTTCCGCTGTTTGATGGCTCCTGCAACTTCATTGACCCACAGACCTTACAGTCTCTTCAGCGCTGCCAGTTGCTTTTGAGCAACCTTAGCACAGTCTTAAACTGTTTTCTAATAGAAGCACAAGAGCTTACTCAAAAAGGTTAGTAATAGTGCTTGAAAATCTTTGGTATATTTTACAAAGATTTGGAATTATGCTTGGGTTGTAATTGTGGCAACGAGCTTTTGTTACTTTTGAGGCTTAGAAGACAGTCATGTTTAGCTGGGAGAAGCGGCTTGGCTCTGAGAAGTTGGGACCACCACTTAAGATGCATCGTGTTCAGGGAAATGGTTTGTTGTCAAGTTCATGGAGTTGGGTGGGGGAGGCTATGTTCAGCAAGAAGCTGTGTAGGCAACTGGGTTGAAATGACAGCAACCAAATGTGCTCATGCTGAAAATGATTCCTTTTAATTCTTAGCTTGCAATTTATAATTACATGCAGACATTGTGTTGCAAATTCCTAAACAATATGAAGGAAGTGTAAGTGAGTAACTTGCAAAGTAAGTTACTTGAGTTTCTCTAGCTTTTTATATTAGAAATTGTTCTTGGTCTATTGAGAAAAGAAAATAAAAGACAAGACCATCCCTTTGCAATCATAAAAATTACTGCGATATGGAAAACAAATGCCTTATTCAGGGGTGTATTTAATAGTTCAGGCTTTATTTTTTTTTTTATTTTAACTGTTAGTGAATCTGGTTCTTTGTAGGAGTTGCTTTTGGCTTTGACGGTGATTGTGGGGGTTTTCTTCAAATAAGAAAGTGATACAGTGTGAAAAATGAAAGACAAAGATTTCTACCGTGTTATTTTTATACTTTCTATTTAGTAGGATGAAGGGAGTTTTGTGAAAATTAAAGGAATTGCATAACATAAATCATCTTATGCCTTTTTTCAGGTTTTGCAGAACTGACAAATAAGCGAGTGGTAACTAGCCTCATTTCTCTGTATGTGCAAGTGGTCATCTGGTTCTGTCGATCCGGTCTCCTTCCAGAGGGTTCAGGTAAGCAAAAACTGCAATACGTTTGTAATAAGGAGACCATCCAGTAAATGACTCCTATGGACAGATGCTGAGACATGTTCTTGTCACTGTTTCGTCAATAACAGCTCTTGTGGGTTCAGTGGCAGGGTACGCTGAAGTTCTGTTGGTGAAGTTGAGATTTTACTGTTTTTTCAAATACATAGTGTGGAATAATGCAAGCAGTTTATTTCCTGGATGTTTTTTTAAGGAATAGCAGCAAGCCTCTGACTTCCAGGAGCTGCTTGTGTCCACAGCTTGGAATATCTGGGATTTTAAACAAATTACTCTTAAACAACAAATACTGGAACACTTGTGATAACAGTGAAAGGGTTACCTGCATGTTTTGAACTTTCTATTCATTGCTTGAGGGAGAAGTCCACCTTGGAAATCCTTCTTTATTTGCATGGATTATAAACTCCATCGCCAGCCTTAATTGTCTTACAAATGCTCACATGACATGTTTAAAAAACATTCCCTTTGAGAGCTGAGTGGGGTTTTTTACAGTGAACCTCAGCTTTCCCTGCATGTTCTGAATGCTACATGAACTGTAAACTTGAAACGGCACTTTCAAGACAAGAAGGACTTGAGTCTTGTGTCTTACATCTCTTTAAGCAAAGGCAGAAACAGGATTGGCTTCTTTCAGATCTGGAGGCTTCTTGATGCTTAACTTGTAGGATCTGCTGTGTTTCTAGTCAAAAATTTGAGCTTACAGGTGTGATATTACTCCTTTAACTTGCTTTCACTTTATTGCCTGTAGATGACGATATGCATTTGTCTAGACCTTTCTACAATTATCCTCTGATTCAAAGCTACTATACTGGTCACCGACAGAAACTTGAGCGTTTATCAAGGTGAGACTTAAAGGAAAACTCTAGGAGACTTGCACTGCAAATTCAGAAGCGGAAGGCAGTAGCTTTTATCTCAGCACTTGTATTGGCTATTTGTAATGCATTTGCCGGCAATACTCTTCACTTGTGATGCATGTGTTTTGTCCAACACAGAGATTACTTTTCCTATATTAAAATGTTAATATATACCACTGCTTAGTAACCTTTCTTGGTATCATCGGGATTTGTTGACTAACCAGTATAATTTGTGACTATTGAAAAAGATCATGTGATTAGGATAGGATCAGTCATCTCCAGTTTCAGCAAAGCACGGTTTTCACAGAACAATTGTTTTGCAAGCAGAAGAAAGCATGTTTTTTGGTTTTTTTTTTTTTTAAATCATCTTTTTCATTGACTGGTAATAACTGTATTGGCCGAAATCTCCTGCTCACCAGTGCATTTGTGTAAGGTGGCCAGAGTTACAGGTAGTTGGATAGAAGTAGCTTCCTAATGTAAACTCTTTCCTGGACTAGCTTCCTAGCATATAATTGATACACCTTGGATTAGCTGATAGTAGGTATTTCTTTGGAAATTGTACTGAAAACCGAATAAAGACCTAAACAAGCTCAGACTATGGCACTGTGACCCAGATGCTGCGAGATGAGTTCAGGTGGAAGCTGCAGTGTAGCAGGTATAGCCTTCGAAGTTCATCTTACTTAGCTTACTTCTCAAGTAACTTACAGCCTCGTGTGTTCCTTAGAACCGTAGAGCCTCTAGTGTGTCTTTTCTGCTTTGTATCATTGGGAAATTAAAGGGTAGTGTCGCAGTCAGCAGAAGACTGCGATGGACTTCTAAAAAGTCAAGCTGTCCACAACGGTGATGGTACATGTGTAGAAACATAAATGCTGCTGAAGGTGCTACTAAAATCTAAGAGTATGCTCAGCTTTCTGAAAGTAACTTACTTTCATAACAAAAGTGAGATGCTGAGAACAAAGTCTGAAATTTCCATTACATTGTCTCAGAGCTGTGTAGTGGAACACTCTAATTTGAGGCAATCAATAGATTTGTGTTAAAGAATAGTCCTGGTATTTTGATAGTGCTACGTTTCCTCTGTTGGACAGTGTGAGAGTGGTTATTTCTGGCCCTTAAAGAACTTGGTTTACACTTCCTTTGTATTACAAGTAACATAACAAAAAAGAAACCCTGAAAATGGAAAGGTCGTTGCCACTTTTCCCTTAATAAGAGAGCTTTTAGGATTTCTAGTTTGCACTCCTTCAGTAGTTGAATATGAACTAACAAAGATCTGTCATCTGACTCGGAAATTCCTTTCATGTCTATTTCAAGTCACAATCATGCCTTTGTATGGCTGTTGCTCTCTTTGACTCAGGGAAGCGGTTTGGGTTTTTTTGGTTTTGACTGGAGGAAATCTGTTACACAGGGAGGCTGGAATTGGTGTTTTACTCTGTCCAAATCCTTGCTACTTTTTGTTCCAGAGGAAAATGGGATTCTGACTGCTTGATGGTTGATGGAATGGTTTCCCAGTTAGGGGACCAAGCTGAGAAGTTGTGGCGGAGAGATGAAGGAGGAACTGGGAAATATCCACCTGCAAGTTTGCACGTGAGTGTCCTGTTCACTGGAAACAACAACAACAAACCGCCGCCCTTCCCGCCAAATCCCACTCAAAAGCCAATGATGTACGAAAGGCAGGAGTTTTAAAAAAACTTGTATTTTTTCATTTCAGGCACTGCTGGATCTCTATTTGCTAGAAAGCATTGAAGAAAACCACAAACATGCAATTGTATCCTTTCTGGTTATTTTTATTACACCTTCAGTGTATGCACATAAATGTTCTTAAATCTTTGTCCCCTACTTGTTTAATAATGTTTTTTAATTTATGCTTCAAACACAATGCAAGTGAAAACATTTAGTTTAGCAAGAAGTTGTAGAGAGAAGCACTCTTTTATTTCTTTGTACTGTGGATTTTTTATGGGTTTTTTTAAAATGTTTTGTTGCAAAGTCTTCTCTAATATGAGAAAACAGGTTTAGTAAGAAAGGTTGCAGATAAAAAACGCCCTTAGTTTTTCTCAAAATTTAAACACAGTTTTTAAGCCACCACTGTCTGTGGCAAATGGCTACTTTCTGGAACGATGTGCTAAAAGGTGCTGCTTCAGAGCAAAAGGATTTCTCACAGTGGTTTACCAGTACCTGATTTTTGCTGCAATCATTGGTTTTACAGCGCAGCTCACAGTGCTTGCTTTGGTTCTGTTAAAAGTGCAGGCATACAGGATAATAAACAGGAAGAAGACAAGAGTCATTGGGCAGAAAGTTAATTTTTAAGCTGCTGAAATACACAGAATTGCTTTTGCTGTTTGTTGCCTAACCTACAAGGGGAGCCCAGAGAGCAAGAGGTTTAAAATCGGTTACACCCCAGAGCTGCCTAATTAGAATATGTTCCTGAAACCAGATGTCAGGAAGAGAAGATGCTGCTACCAATGAGTGATCCGCACACTGCTTTTCATCCGGTTTTAGTCATTCAGAGCTAAGCTGTATTGTAAGGACACCATAATTTGCATCTGGAAATGCGGGGGAAAAACAACTGCAGAAATTGTTTGCTTTAATAATTAAGCCTTGGATATTCAAATGTTTTGAATGTCCTGCTGGTAGCTCCACTGACTAAAGAGGGAGCCTGAGCTTATAAACAAAGTGTTTAAATATCTGAAGCTAACCTTTTTGAATGCCTTGCAGAAACAGAGAGGATTTCTTTCTGGTTATTTATTCAGACTGCAGTTTTGTGGTGAGGACCTGACTCTCTTGCGGATATAATAGATTAAAATGGCAAGACTACTACATCAGTATTTTCTGCTTCCTACCGCTTTTATGTTCTTGTTTCATTATGTTTTTCTCAAGGTAGTGTGATAAAGTTTTGGTCTTACAAATTATTAGCCTTAATAAGGTCCTTGATGTCAGACAATTTACTTGCTGCTAGATATCATGCATTCCTGTCTGAATAAAACAGAAACTTCAATCGACTCCTTCCCAACTGCCTTTGCTATCCCTTGGGGTCTTGTTAAGCTTGTCCAAGGTTTTTGGCTTCTAGATCACAATGATTACGAAGTAAGTATGTTACAGTTCAGTTAGACATATGTTGCAGTGCAAAGCTATAATCTGTAAAAAGATTTTAAAAACCAGTGCTTTGCTAATAACAGGTGCTAAAACATTAGCAGCTTTGTTTTTGTAATACTGCTACATCTTCAGCAGTAAACTGTGATTTGAAGTTTTGTTTGAATTACTTTGACAGGAAGTTGATTGAAATAAAGAGAAATTGACTTAAATAATGCTTGATATCTGAATTTTCAAAGCCATCCATCTCGGTTGTTTTCCAGCAGACTGGTTGAGCACTTTCTCGCAAAGAGATAGTTGTAGGTCCTTTCATGTGCTTTCTGATGCTGAAGGTTCTTGTTTGCCTGTCACAGTGTTAATATAATCTATTTGTCTGAGAGAGTAACTTAGTATTTAGTCACGTATTTCTAATTTCTGTGTTTGTACACAGAAATTTCATTAAGCTAGGAATTACTCCTTTTAAAACACTTGATTCTGTATGGCTAGCTGATTTTTATTTTTTTTTTTTTTGTTCTGCAAATACTTAAGAATTCTTATTTATGTGTCCCGTGTCAAGTGTTTCATTGGTTAGTTACCTCCGTTTTTTTAATTACACACTTTCACCCTTCCTTAAGAAACTTTTGAGTATTTTTGTTGCGTGTGTCTATGTTTACATGGCAATAAAGCCAATCTCTTAACTTCTACAGAATTCACTGGCCCTGCTCTTTCATCCAGCTACAATCAAAACTGTGTCTTGGCAACATAAGAGAATTATTCAATCCCTCATGTGCCAAGGAGAGCACAGGCAAGCCCTCAGATACCTACAAATGACGAAGCCATCGGTGTCAAGCAGGAGTGAAGTGCAGCTTTTCCTCACTGTGTTGCTGTCCAACAGGTAAAAAAAATGCATTCAACCAGTTTGTCATGCAAATCTTGTGGAAAGTGGAGAAAAATAATATTAATCATGACCCCCTTATTTTCCTTTAAACTTTGAATAGAATAATTTGGTGGCATCTCCTTGGTTATATTATTCATATCCCTTTACATCTCAAAAAATTAATCACAGGTGCATGGTGGAGGCTTGGGGTCTGTTGCATCAACGTGCCACTAAGTTAAACATAGAAGAGCTGTTAAAACACATGTATGAGACCTGTCAGGAGATGGGACTGATGGAAGACTTGCTGAAGCTGCCTTTCACAGACACTGAGCAAGTAAGTGTGAGCAAGGAAAAATCGTAATTGTCTCTTTGAAAAGAGCAAAGGCAGAATCATAATAGGTTTTTGAAATGTGCTCTTTCTCACAGGACTGTTTGGAGAAGTTTTTAAGGACCAGCGCTAGTGTTCAGAATCAAGAATTCCTTTTAGTCCACCATCTGCAGCGTGCCAACTACATTCCAGCACTAGAGCTGAATCAGTCAATTAACGTTAATCTTATGGTAAGTGTAAAAGTTCTGTTCTGTGCAATAGTATGTTAGGTGTTAATAACTGGTTTTGATAGTACTCAATAAAAATCCCGCTTTATTTCTTATGCCATTCTTTGAAACACTAGAAAAAAGTTTCTACGCCTTAGGTTACAGTTGAAGCTAAACATTGAACAAAGTATTTCACTACTCAAAAGCAACTCTGTGAAGCTATAAATTAAATGTTATGCACCACGGTTGACCCCATTTAAAATAGTTTGTATGCAACTGAGGAATAAATATGTATCTTTTCGATCAGCTGATCTTATCATTCAGTTGTTCTGATATGTAAATTATGTGTGGTTCAGATTATTGAATGTTGTTTGTGTCACTCCTTTCTGTGGCATGACGAGGATTTTGTATGTCGTCTCTTGTGTCCTGCACGTGACTGTTTTTCTAGCTGAGAGCAGGCTGGATGCCAATCCACAGAGACAATTTGTGTGGTGGTTTTGGTGGTTTGTTTTTTCTATTATTATTATTTTATTTTCTCACTGTATAGCGTGCTCTGCTATTCCACAACTTTCATTTTACCGCTTTTGTGACAAATTCATGTCTAATTTCTGTTTTTTGTGATAGCCAAATTACATTTTGACATCCATACAAGTATGTATACATTACATCTTACATACATGCAAGTATGAATTTGCGTTACAGATCTGTGATGCATTTACTGTTTTCTGGAGCCAGAGTTTTCCAGTGAATCAAAATTCTAGGGCGGTTTTGGAAGTTTTAGGTCCTCCTTTGAAGTCCTGTCATCCAGGCAGAAGGTGTGTGTAGGTTCCTTTTTCTTACTTGTTTTAATATTCACATCATTTTGTCCAAGGAAGTTTCCGTTTGTCCTGCATATTCAGTCACCTCGGACATTGGTGTTTTAGGAAAACCAAGGGAAAGCCTGCTATGTAGTAAGCTTTTTAAAAAGCTGTTCTGTGCAGTGGTTGTATTTTACCGTATCTGTAGAGGAAATCCATTCACTAATTAGAAATAGCACAGATAATAGGTCTGTGCTATAAATTTCTTGTCATTAGTTAATGTGTTGCGTTATGCTTTTCCTTCATCAGAATGATCGTGATCCTCGGTTGAGAGAGAGAGCTGTTGCCAGAAATTCTATATTAGACCAATATGGCAAGATCCTTCCCCGAGTTCAAAGGAAGCTGGCTGCAGAGAAAGCCAAGCCTTACCATTTGCCTTCATCGTGCTTAAGAGAAGGTAACTTTGAGGGGGGAGGAAATACAGTGGAGAACTAACCATCCCTTTGGTTACACCAGGCTGATATTTTTCCCCTCTTGCTTTACAGTCTCAAGACCAAAGCCATTATCAACAGTAGCAAAACCAGCTAATGCAGGAAATGTGCATACAAGAGCAACTTTTATCAGTAATGTATTGACCAAAACTGGAGAAGTCTGGGCAGGAAATGAGCAGAAAACCAGATTGTCACAAGGTCATAGGTAAGCAGCCTTTTAAGAAAGTTTAATCTTGAGCTGCATGTTTGGAGAGAGAGAGACAGAAAAAATCCTTTTGCATTATGTGAGTGTTATGGAGGGAAGATGCACCTGAATAAAGCTTTGTTTGGCTTTTTTGCACCTCCAGTATATAACATTTAATAATCAATACATCAAAACCAATGTTTGGAGAGAGTGTTTTTCTGCTGTGGTAATCTTAATTATGGAAACAGTACGAGCGGCATGGTCAACTAAACTTGAGTTCTGGTACGTGTGGGGGATTGAAAGTCAGTTACATTTTCCTTTTAGTTCTAGACCTCGAGCTGCAGAACCCCCGGCCACAACACACCCTCTCCCTGGCGAAGAGATGCACAATGCATTTGTTGGGACACCCGTCACAAAATCTTCACCAAAATGTTCCAGGTATAGTAGAGCTACAGGATGACTATTCCAGAAGGTGTTGCTTCTCACATATGTATGTACATGTGTGTATGCGTAGACTTTGTGTCTGTGTTGTGTTTGCATTCAGTTTTGAATGAGCTAAAGAAAAGGTCAATTTAGGGTCAGAACTAAGTGGAGAGATTGAAGTGGTCCCAGCATAGAAATGGAGGTGAATTTTCTTCTGGCACGAGATTTGAATGACTTGTGTAACTTGAAATGGGATTACTTTTGCCTCAGAGGTGGTGATTTGGGAAATTCAGTATGAAATGTACGGTAATAATGGAAAAAAAGGAAAATGCCTAATACATCCTCTAAACTGTGGGTGTTCTCCCATATTTCTTGCTCATTTAATGTTTTTCTTGTCTATCATGTCAGATTTCTTGAACACAGCATGATTTTTCCCTGTTTATAGATTTATTTTCCTCTTTTAATTGCATCTCTTAACAGATTGCTGGATTTAGTGGTTCGTCCAGTTCCTTCATGTACTCCAGCACAGGGTGGTAGCTGGCAGTCACCATGCAGAGCTTCCACTTCATTTATGGCACCTAGCCCATTGAAATCAAATATGCATGGTTCCATCTCAGAAAAGAATTTTTCAGGAGCATCAGAACTGAATTTACTCCAGACTCCTCTTGTGGTTAAGGTTTGTATATTACAAAAAAAAACCAAAATCCAGCATGAAAAAGGAAAGAAACCCAAAGCCTCTAAACTTGATTTAAAATGAAACCAGCCAGGCATTTAACAGAAACACCATTGCATTCAAATGGTGTAATATTTTCAGTATGCATGTGGTGATTGTAGATACGGTTCTTTTGGAAGCAGTATATTGAGACCAATCTTGAGGGAAAGTTTAGTGCTAATTTAATTGCAGTTTGCATGTTGTCCCGTAGCATTGTGAAGTACATTTGTTTGTATTGCATGGAACAAAGTAAGTTAACATTGGACTTTTCAATATTCTGAGATACTTAAAGATTCAAGTTTTAGCTTAAGCATCTCATTATTTAAGTGCTCAATAGCTCTGTATAGTTTGGCTTGCATACCTACAAGTGAGAATGTATATGCTTCAGTTTCTTAATCCAGTTAAATGAATGACACGCAAATGGTGTCTGTTAAGTGATGTCACTGTCAAATTCAGTGATGGCTTTTTGCAGTAATTTTAGTTGCTGTGTTAAACTGTGTTTCCACTCACTACCGTTGAACTCTTATCATGCAAGGAAATAACACTTGACCTATCTTCTTGCTGCTCATCTTTTTGCCTTTTATATCTGAACAAAATAATTTTGATCTTGCTGAGTTATAACCTTCTTCTTATTATTAATATATAGTGTCCATATCATTAAGTTAGTTTCATTATTCTCCTTTTAAACCCTTTCAAAACTGTAAAATCTTTTTTCAGGTTGAGGTAAGAAGAGCTGAACACTTTAGATGAAGATGTGTAGGTACTTTTACAGCAGTGCCATTTAATTTCGCCTAGTGTGCAGATTGGTTAATTAGTGAAAACATAAGTTATTACTGTTGCTTTGCTGATTGCCATTTCGCATGGCAGTGTTTTCAGTTAATGTATCCGGTGTAACATTTGAAATTGTATGGCTTTCAGAAGAGCAGTGTAGAAATTGCTAAAAGTACTGGGATGGGAGATAACATTGCCATCAACATGGTGCCATATCCTTGTTTATACAGGAAATTGATTTGAAAAAAACTGGTTTGTGTTGACAACTATAAAAAAAACCATGCGTCTCATGTTTCGAGGTTTTCTTACCTTTTGGAAAAAGAGCAGTGCAGAGACAAAACTTTGTCCTGTCTGTTAGTACAAACTCAGTTTGTAATTTAGTTTAGCTTAGCTTTAGTTTAGTTTAGCTCTTTTGACAACAGAAGCCTTCTGTTTTGAAGATTTTGTGGGTTCTAAACTAGGTGTTTTTATTTCTTTTCATAGAGAGCTCAAGTTTTGGCCACATCTGCTTCTGGTGTTCCTCGGTTTACTCCTCAATCTATTCTCAGATCCAGCCTTCGCACCACACCCCTAGCAACTCCCTCCGCCTCTCCCGGACGATCCGTCACTCCTCCTTTACGACCAAAGGAACCTGGAATATCTTCCAGGGAGGAGAACTCAAACACAACATGGACTGCTGGGGTAAGTTGGGCTGTAGTTAGTGATTTTTCCAGTTAAAGGCTTTATAGACTGCGTTTGGATTTGGATTTGTATAGCGTTTGCCCAAAGTCCTTGTATTGAGAACTGGAATTGCAAATCAGAGTGGCAGACTGGCAGTTGGTCCTCAAAGGCTGTTAGACCTTCTGTAGCATCACCTTCCTGCAGGAAGATGTTCATACTAATGCCATTGGCCTTGGTGGTGGTTACTCAAGTGTTGTTAGGAGCTGGGAATGTTCAAAACTGCTAGTTCTGCATTGTGGTGTTACCTTATCAAAGGGTGGTTTGGCAGGTATGTAAGGAATATAGATTGAGCCAGGTGATTGGGTTTGTTAAACCTTGTGAATTCAACATTTTTGGAAGCACTGTAGTCATGAGCTGCATTGCCTTTCGGGCTCTCTTTCTGTAAGGCTGGATGTACTTAAAGTATGTTAAAAAAGACTCCTGACAAAGAGAGCTGTAGCGCTGTCTGTTCTCCAGCCCTCAAGTTCTCAGTGGGATAGCATTTGGATAGTTGTCAAAGGAAGCTGACCCATCTGCAAGTTGTCCCCTTGTACTCCTCCTTTTATTCTTTTGCCCTTGTGGCCAAGAACACCAATAGCATCCTGGGGTGCATCAGGAAGACTATGACCACTAGGTCAAGGGAGGTTATCTTACCTCTCTACTCTGCCCTGGTGAGGCCCCATCTGGACTATTGTGTTGAGTTTTGGGCTCCCCAGTTCAAGGACAGGTAACTGCTGGAAAGGGTACAGCAGAGGACTACAAAGATGATTAGGGGCCTGGAGCATCTCTCTTACAAGGAGAGGCTGAGGGACTTGGGTCTTTTTAGTCTGGAGAAGACTGAGAGCAGATCTGGTCAATGCTTATAAATACTTAGAGGGAGGGTGTCAAGAGAATGGGGCCAGTCTTTTTTCAGTGATGCCCAGGGATAGGACAAGAGGAAACGGGCACAAACCTATAAGAAGTTCCACCTAAACATGAGGAGGACCTTCTTTACTTAGAGAGCGGCAGAGCACTGGAACAGGCTGCCCAGAGACGTGGTGGAGTGTCTGTCTCTGGAGACATTCAAAACCTGCCTGGGCACGTTCCTGTGCAACCTGCTCTAGGTGGACCTGCTTTGGCAAGGGGGTTGGACTAGATGATCTTCAGAGGTCCCTTCACACCCCATCTAAATCTGTGATTCTCTCACTTGGATTCCCTCATTCAGCTCGTCATGCAGTTGTCAAAATAACGTACCAAAATCAGAGGCAGAACGGGGACATTTTCTAGTGTCTAAATGTACAAGCTTTCCGTACATGTGCTAACAAATTGTCATGGTCAGTTTCTATTATACGTTTTATCGCCTGTTATAAAGAGCTACTTAATTATAATGAGAGGCTCCCTCTCCTATATGAAGTTCTTACTGATACTGTAGTGTGACCAGATGAATTTACTTGTTCCGTGCTCCAGGCATAGGGAAGAGTAAAATATTTTAGTGGTGCATACAAGTTGAAAAGTGCAAACGTAAAGAAAGAGAAATCTTGAGTTAGGATTTTAGGTTTGCAAAGCTCCCTCTTTTGAAAAGACACCGGTGAACCCAATGAACAGCCTTGCGATGATGGGATAAGCAAGCACTTTCAAGATTCAATTCTTCCTAATCCTCCAAGGTTCTGGAAACTCAGTAAGCAGTCAAAATTGTCCTTTATTTTGACAGTTGGCCTTAAAAAACTAACCTAGTGCTAAAATGAGAATTAATTTTGTAGGGCCTTGCTTTCGTAGGGCCTTGCTTAAGTTGACACTTGTAAAACTTACACTTCTCAGTCTATGTTTGTCCTTTGTTCAATTTTTTGCTTTGACAAAAAGCATCTAGACGTTACTGATTGTCACTTTGAATTTTTTTCAAAAAGGTGACAGAAAATGATAGAGCACTGTCTGGACCTTCACCTGAGGATCATCATCATGATGATGGAGTGGTGGAGGATGCTTGGTCTGGAAGCAGAAGGAAAACAACTCTGTTTACTCTGAGCAATCCTGAGGATGATCATGCTGAACTGGAAGAGTCTTCAGAAAGCACACCTGGAGATGGTTTGGAGAAAATGGAGGTCAGCAAAGAAAATAGTAACATCTCTGCCAGGTCAGACCAAACTACTTTGGAGTATCACGACGCAAAATCCCTCAGCGATTTTGAAGATGATGTCATCTTTATAGCTGCTAAACCAGCCCATTCTGCCACTGACGCAACTGCCAGTTTTCAAGAATCAGAGAAGGAAAGAGGCAGTGAAATGGTTGAAGACAAACCTTTCCAGACGGAACAACCCGATTCATCAGAACTAAGAAAAAAACCTGGTGTGTTGTTATTAAGGTTCCTCAGCTCCTTTTTATTTTCTTTTTCTTATTGTAAATCACAGGAGTGCCCGAGTCAATGATCTGTTTGTTTTCTTGACTGAAAGGATGTGTCAGAGTTCTTGTTTTACTGGAGAGAAGAAGTCAGACCTTCCATGCATTTGAAGTCTTGGTAGCATGATTTAGTTAGATCCCTGTCCTAGATGAAATGCGTAAAGGCTCGCTTTAAGATCCTATGAGCATGTGAAAAGAAATGCTGTTAAGTGCAACAGGGAAGTCATCCATCTGTCTGCTTTTGTAGGGTTTGTGGAAGAATCAAAGGCTGAATGTCTTGCCCTTCCTGAGGCTGGTAAATTGGTGTTCAAAGGCACTGAGGCTGCTCCTTTTGGGACTGCAAGTGAAGGGTAAGTTTATAAAAGAGCTGGCATCGGTTCTTTCCTGTGTTCTTCCGCATAATGGCTTTTCTATTTTCTGTTTTGGGGTGGGTGTAAGTCTGATTGACTAGCTCTGAGGCTGAGCCTGTTCTTTTCAAGTCATTGCAGAGCCCAAAGTATGGTGATAAAGGCTTCATTCAACAGGCAACATAAATGTTTTTACAGTTTGAGGATGCTGTAAGCTAAGCAGATGCTGTGAAGCTTTGTTTTTGTCTGAGCAGCCCTGCTTTTGTCTGAAAATGGTGTAGCTCAAAATTACACCTGAGGTTCCTGCAATGTTAGCGGGTTTATTTGGGGGTTTGAATAATTTGTGGCAGTATTTTGTAGACTTAATTTTTATTCCTCGTGTGTGCTCAATGAGCATCCATTTGCTTATGGAAAGGGAAGCAGTTTTCTCCCCAGATCCTTTGAAAGCTGCAACTGCTTTTTGAGAGAATGTTAGTAGTTTGTAAAGCTCTTCAAGGCTTGTTTTGAAGCTTGACTATGAATTTCTCTTTCTGTTCATGAAGTGAAACAAGCCACCAGGAGTCCAAACTGTCCTCTTCATCAGAAGAAAAAGTCATTCCAGTTGCACCAAATCCACAGCTCTCTGCGTTCCCGGCAAGAGACAGTGAATGTAGGTACAGTGTGTTGGGGCTGTCATGTGAGTGGAGCTCAACTCCTGAAGTAAATTGTGTAGTTTGCTACTACAGAAGAGGAAATGAATAATAATAATAATGTCAGTTATAACAGTTTAAGGGGTGTACAAAATAAAATGATACGATACCAGCTGATGGCTTGCCCGGCCTGTCCTGAGCAGCAGAACCCTGTCCCCCCAGCCAACCCCCATTTACATACCCAGCATGATGTCTGTGATATGGAATATCCCCTGGTCCTGCCAGTGCTCCTTCTCAGCTTCTCTGGGAGCTGAAAATGTCCTTAACTAATCTGAACATTATGTAGCAACAACTAAAACAATTTGGGGTATCAACATTCCTCAACATTCTTCTCATACCAAATCCAAAACACAGCATCTGCTAACTCTATCCCAGCTGAAAGCAGGGCAGGGATCTGCTGCTTGAGTTCCTGTGTTAAAAGATGATGCACCCTTGGCATTCGGGCTGAGAAGAGTAACTAGCTGTGAGTGTGCCTTTCCAGCCACCATTTCCTCCCTTGTTGTTTTTCTGTATGGACTTGCCAGCTGATTTCCCCCTTCCTCTTTTTTTTTCTTTTTCTTTTTGTTTTTTTTAATTTATTGTGGGGCTGCCTCCTTCGCCAGGTAGATAGTTCTGTCTTCTAGATTTTCCAGAAAAGCTGGAAGCCATTCTAGTTTTTTTGCCCTGTTGTATATGTGGCAGGATAGAGAACAGCATTGTTGGCTCCTGCTGCCTCTGTTACTTCCTGTTGCTTAAACCAGTATTATCCACGTAGCAGTTAAGTTAAAATGATATAAATCTCTTCCAGCTGTGATAAGAATCCCTGACAGTGAGGACACAGTCAGTACTCATTCAGAAAATCGCCTCGAGGGGAAGTGTGTGGATTTACCTAAAGAACGTAAACATGAAGCAGCTGCAGTTGAAGAAAATGTTCCTTTTCGGCAGGAAGAAATACCTGTTTCTAACAACCTTGCTAAAACTGAGGAAATGAATGTAAGTAAACTATTTTCCCATTTTCTCCAAAATAGAAAGCAATTTGCAAATTGAGGACAGTCCTGTCTTACTGACAATGAGAAGGCACCCAAAAAGGTCTCTTTTTCTTTAGCTGGTTGACACAAGTGAAAAAACCTCATTACGTGAGGCCAGATAAGTACCAATTTAGATGTAAGTGGCTGGTTTTGGCTTGTCTGCCTTCACTGAATTTAGGAGAGAATGCTTCCTGCTTTCTCGTTCGTAGACTTGTAAGCATAAAAGGACAGTTCATGCAGACTCGCATTTCTTGAATTTAGTTTTGGAGCATGGCATGTTGCTACCAATGTGATGCTTTAGCGACTTTTGTGGAGGCAGGAAGCAGGAAAGGCAGCAGATTCTCTGGAGGCTGCTGCGGAGGGGCTTCTTCCTTCTGCCGTCGTTGGCTGGCACTGCAACTTAGAGGGCTGGGCAAAGGTCTTTACGCAGGGGTTAAATTCTCTTGAGCATCGGAGTCACTGGAAATAGGTAACAGATACTCCTTTTGTTCTCACCCTAAAAGCCCGAGTATGTCATGTGGAGAGAGAAGGAAAGAATACTTGCTCGGTACGGGCAACTGGAAAGCACGAGGTGGAGCTATTTAGAAGAGGTGGTGGTGTCTCATGCAATCCCAGTGATTCCTTAAAGTGAGGTGTTGTCAGGTGTGGGCAGTTTGAGAAAGCGTTGCCAACTGAAACTTAAACTTTTCTCTCACTTTGAGCTTTTTTGTCTCAAGAAAGTTGTCTTTTACCCTGCCAGATGCAGAGTCGGTCACTCTGTGTGCATTTGTAGTCAGCCCGGGAAGTCCTGCAGTGGGATGGTGACTGCCAGCTGTGTATGCAGCTTGTCCTGTAAAACTGCTCACTTTGTTCACGAGTGGTGGCAACTGGTTAGTTGTGAACAGAAACACCAGAGAGGGAGCGTGGGATTGCGTACACCGAGTCCTCCCAGTTACCTGTAGCATTGTATGCTTCTAACTTTACACCCAGGGGTGATCTGAAAGGAAAAGCAGCATTTGGCTGTCCTCAGGTTCCTCTGGGTCAGGTTGAAGTAATGCATATTGCATTCACAGGTATTTTTTAACCTTAGGTGATTGAAGATAGTGCGGGTAAGGCACCAGCCTCCAAAGAAGCACCGGAAACATCACCATACAGTGAACAACTACATCCCTTGGGCAATCTTCAATACAGATATGATGCTATAGAGCAACAGTTTGCATGTGATTTGCCTGATGATAAAGACGATGAATGTGATGCAGCTGAGGCAGACGGAGAGCTTTTTCTATCTCAGAGTAATTTTACTTTAGTCTTGGAAGGAGAAGAAGGTGAAGGGGAGATGGGAGATCCTACATCAGTAGATGCTTCTAAACCGACTGGCACAACAACAGAGGGAAAACCTGTGAACAGTGTAGGAAATCATCCTGAAACCCAAGAACAGGTTACAAACTCAGTGTCCACTGTAACTAATGATCAGGAATCTCAGAATACTGCAGAGTTGCTCCCGTATGTGCCTGAACCCATTAAGGTGGCTGTTGCTGAGAACTTACTGGACGTAATCAAAGACACAAGAAGTAAAGAATTTACGTCCGAAGCTGTAGAGCAATCTCTTCACGAAACCATAGGTAAAAAGGGAGCTAGATTCCAGAAGGCCAAAGCGGCTTTAACGACCGTGCCCGAAGAAGTGGAAGATGAAACCAGTCTCCATCAAGAGGAGTACGTCAGCACTCCTAGAACACGCACGAGGGGACAGCTGAGTAGAAGTCTAAGCATTCCATCTGCAGGTCCTCAGCAACTTCTGCGGGCAGACAAGCCGTTTCTGCTTGGACTGTCTCCTCGGAGAAGTACCAGGCGAACAGAAGAAGCGTCTGAGACTTGAAGTGTCGTAGCGGAAGGAACTGCTCCAGGTGAGCAAAT